TTTATTCATTTCCCAGTTTGATAAGGCGGTCGATGCGACCAGAACCACCAGCATGATGAAGAGCATGCCGACACTGCACACAAGCCCGTTGCTATAAAAATTGCAAAATTGCTACAAAAAATCTATCATTTTCTTGACACCTCACTGAGACGTAATAGTATTTGTCACCGACATGGCTTAAATTATCAGTACTGAAACCCAAGAAACAGAGGCACTTGTTAAAGAAATAAAGCCACCATGAATTTTAAAGAAGAAAATTCAAATAGCAGCAGAGGACACTAACCTTGAAACAGAAACAAAATCCTGAACACTGCCAGGATTACGAAGAGGCTCAATAATAAAAAATAATAACCATGGGATTGGAAGCCTGCAAATCAGATTGAGCAGTGGCTAGCCGATGTATACATCAAGATATTAAAAGATTTACAGTGGACCTACTTCATAATCTCTGTTTTTAATCATATAAAGCACATCCGCAATAATCAGTCCGTGCCTACAGTCTTTTTTTATAATACATTATGTTGAGGAAAAGCACCTCGAATAGGGAAAGGAAACAAAGGAAGCGAAAGAGATACAAGATTTTCAATCTTGTATCTCTTTCGCTTCCTTTGTTTCCTGCAATAATTTACATAAATTCGTGTTTTTGCGATACCGTAACCTCCTTTGTAAAAACGGTGCCGCCGTCAGTCAGCGGCACCAACATTAATTATGTATGCAGTTCTCTTTGTAAGCTGGACTCGCCTGGAGCGAGGCGGAGCTCCAGATGGGCTCAGTAGCCGATTTTTCCAGCAAATTTTTGGTGTCAACATTTGTTTTCGTACCGACTAGACGCCGTCTACCAACAGCAGGACGCCGCCTACCAACATCAAGATGCCGTCCGCCAACATCAGACCTTACCTTCCACCGTTTTCTTATTGTTATTGCTATCGCATAAATATACCTATTGTTACCTCTAACTAACAAGAGCAATTGAGGTTAATTATAATAGCTGTAGGAAACTCCAAAAAATTTAAGATCGGAAAGAAATTTGTATTTTCACCACACATTATCCTACAGTATCCTTTCCCACCATTTTAAGAACAGCACTGGATTAATTTTTATAAATCAAAAAAATGTTAACTTACCCGACACAAACATCAAATATATTACTACCAACAGAACTGGACACAGCCATATCGCCAAGACCCTTCCTGGCTACGATAACGCTAAAAAATCTTTGATATAATCAACTGCAACAATCATCAGCAAGCTTTTTCATCGCAGAAATTTCATTTACTGAGTTACGTGAACTTCCAAAATCTTTAGGAGAAATTAATTGGGACAAACCTTGTAATCAAGTCGGGTATGCTCGTCCCAGCAGCCAATATTGTTAACCCAATTATCTGAATGTATAAAAGTGCAGAATGTACAAAAATCCACTTTCAGATTCAAGTTTCTGTTGAAAAAAAGAAACACCTCGCAATTAACAAAAATACCAAAACAACGTGAAAAGTCACTGTGTGGATCATATACAGTGATGTTACCAGAATGGTCCTTTTTTATGCGTTTTTGCCGTGCAGCGCTAGAGCGCTGCAACAT